TCCGGTCCCCTTGGTCACGTCGATTTTTAAGGTGCTGAGAGCCATAAACTAGTGACCCAGGCACGTGCAGCCTACGGTGGAAAGGAAAATGTGAAAATTTCGCATACGCCATGTTGACCCGGGTAACGTGCCAGGTGCTGGGCCAATCTTTGGCATTCCAGCTGGCAACCCGTCAACCATCAGCGGCCAACGTCAACAACATCTAGAGTGTGGCATTTTCAAATTGGAGCTGAGGTTGCACCAGTCGCATCTCTCCCAATTTCTGCAGTTATGTAAATGATGATGCCCCTGGAGTATATTAATGAAACTGAAGCTTCTGACTCTTTAAATACAATTGCCAGCCTTAAGAAATTCGCTTAAATTCCTCTCAAGCAAGAAGGCATAAGAAACTTTGAAATTTTAAGTAAATAATTAGACCAGAAAAATATATCTATAAATCTATAAATTTAAACTTCTTAAACACTTAAGTGTGTTTGCAAATGTTAAACTTAAAACAAGATAGCTTACTTATTAAAACAAATTTAAATTTAAGCAGCTTTCATTTAAGAACTTATTAAAAAAATGTTGAAATATGTTGCTTAGCTTATTAGAATTTTTTTAATGAGGGTTGGCAAGATAATGTTTTTTTATAGCTGTTGGGAAGTGTACGAGTACATAGCTCCTTTAGTGTAAAAAGGCAAAAAGAAAACCAAACAAAACCCGTGCTAACGGAAATTGCTGAACAATACCAGGAAATGTAACACGCACACACTCAATTACATGCCACACACGAGCAAACACACCAGTCGAACCGGCACCCACACACTCGCAGGCCAGACAGGCGGTAAAAGTGTTGGTAGCACAATCCACATTACGTATACGCAGCGAATGCTCGAGTTGAGTTGACTTGCGGCATGTTGACAACACTTCGCAATTGGGTTAATTGTACATCGACGCGCTTTTCGACGGGACCCCTTTCTACCAAGTTGAAAATGTGTTAGTCCACTGCCCTTTAAATATGGGTCAATGCGTTGTGATAATCTTAGAACCGGCTATGTTTGTGCTTTGGGTTTGTTTCAAGTTTGATATTTGTGGAGCGAGGTTCTTTTTCATCAAAATAAACTATATGAAATTCCTAATTCTTTTGTCAGCACTACCATTAAAATAAGTTATTAGTAAAATTCTTTAGATACTGTTCTTTAATACCTGATGAAAATTAAGATACCATAAAGGAAGTCCAGGCCAAGATGTTACCAAATCTTTTTTTTTATTTATTATATAAATACTTCTTATTACTCATGTCAAATGCAAAAACTTTAAGATTTTAAAACTCTACGCTTCTATTTTCGAATACACTTATTATCGTATTTCTCAAAAGTGACTGAACTTCCGTTTGGGGATATATTCCACCAATAGAGCTACTCAACAAAGATAAAAGTTCTTCAGTCTTTCCAGACACTATTTTCTTCTTATTTTCCCCACACGTGGTTGTTGTTTGGGGTAGCTCAAGTGCCGTAAATATGCAAATCTATTACGTGATTTCTTTTACAGATTTTGGGATCGTAAAACAAGGCAGCCAGAAGCAACCCCCAGCGCAATACTTTAAGTGCCTGAATTCAAAAAAAGGTTTTGGGAAAAATTACTTGATTTTCTAGCTTACATTTAATATTACCTACCTAGCTTTGTCTAAAAGGAAATCTAACATTCAACCCATTTTGGCAAAGTATTTTAAATTAAACAAAATGTTCAGAGGAAATACAAAAAAATTTTTGTAAATTTACGATAAGTTAAAGCATCTAGCCGAATAATCAATTTATTAATCAATTATGTGGCATTAAACATTTACTTAACCCATTTAATGCTGATTACTCCCGGCAATTAAATGTTAATTAACATGTTGTACTTGCTGTGGAGTTTTTGTTTACGTTGCCAGCGAAATAATAATAAATTAAAACTTATTTAATAAGGTTGCAAATTTGCATAGTTAATGCATTTACCCATGGCCGCTGGCCTAAATCTGCGTGGCAATAATCAGCGCCTCCTTTTGTCGTTACAATGTGCCTTATAAAGAGGCGGAAGTTATTTAAAACGCATTTAAATTGCTGAAATTGCAAAAACTTAAAATGGGTGAAAAAGAAAGGGTGAATTTAAGGGAGGCGTTGTGGAACCAATGCCATACGCCACTTGTAATTTGCATTCGGCTCGTGCATGTAATTTAAAATGAATTAATGAACCGTGGAGTATACAAAAGAAACAATCCAAGGAAGGGAGAAAAGCCGGGGGAAAGTTTATATTTAACACACAAATTACAGGAAGGAAGTTGCACTCGGTGCTGAAAGTGTAAGTATTATGCAAGGCCGGTAATTAATTTTCATAAAACTGGTAGATCTTTAAAACAAAGAGAATAATGCACTTAGCTGCATTAGAAAACTTATTTCTTACATGAAATAAACAAGTTCTTGTAAAATTTCAATAAAATAAAATCCACTGTTTGGCTCTCTACCCTTTTGCTTTCTGCTAAGCCTGCTGTCAAATATAGTCCGTAAATGGTCTTTTAGATACCATTATCCGGTCCCATAATTGTCGGTTCAATCCACAGCAGCTGACCAACATTAAAAGTTTTTTAGTGTCCAGCTCTAATGGCTGTAAAAAAAAGATGAGCGTCCGGAAAAGGGAACGAGAAAAGGAGGCAAGCCAACATTTATGACAGCATTTTCATGCTCATATGAACAATCCTTGCCAGATCTGGGAAATTTTTTAGCCTTTTAAATTTTATGGCCCGACATTAAATTGACGCCAAATGGTGGAGACAGCCAGAGGAAGTGAGAGAAAAATATTAATTTGCTTCTGGGTTGAGAGGCAGGTCCTTCTGCCCCAACTCCTTCTGCCACATCAATTTAATGTGCCCCAGCTAATTTGCTTTTTATTAAGAGATGCCCGAGCATTCGCCACCAAACAGACTCAACAGCTGGAAGGAGGCGTTAAGTGACGAGGTGGGCGTGGCAGGGGAGCATGCGGGGAAGGGGTGGCAGATTGCATATCCTGCGGAGATCCTTGCTCGCCTACCGTAGACAAACAGCGTGCACAGCATTTACAGCTCACGGTTTATTATGCTGTAAATAATGTAAATAAAGAGAAAAACAAACAGGTAACCAGGAACTACGTGGCGTTACCCTGGAATTAAGTGTCTTTTGGAATGAAAACTGGTTAAACTTGATGGCTTTTTAATAGGCCTTACTTTAATTTTTGTCTCTTATTTTCTTTAAAAATATAAAGGTGTAAGTGTTAAATAATATAACACAATGAATAAGATATATAACAGATATGCTAATATAATACTGTGTTTGAATTCTGAATTTCTGTATCAAAAAATAACAATTCAACATTCTTTTTATATTTAACGCGTAAACTAAAAATGAACTCATTTTTATCCAATAAAGCAAGGTGTTGCACAATTTAAAGGGTATCAATTTCCACCAGCACTTCAAAACCAAAGGGGAAAAACGACAGAGGCAGCAATTCAATCCGAGTCAGTCAACAGCATTCCTCCGCATTCCCCATTTTATCCCCTCTATCCAACATTTTTTAATGCAGCTTCCGTTGCTGCAGCAATCGCCGTGTTCTGCAGTTAAAACATTTAAAACCTGTATAAATCGGGAATTTATGTGTGGAGCTAAAGCCAGAGCCAAAGTGGCTTTAAAAATTAACGGCATTAATAAACTGGGTAAGCTGTTTTAAAAGGAATAATAAATAAAGACAAACAAAATGACCGCAATGGTTAATTAATAACATTAGCGGGATTAAAGAGTAAACTCCGCTGAAATAATTGCGAATGATTGATTATTCGCTTATGCAGAGAAAAAAAAGAGACAGAGCTTGAATGTATTTCAACTAATTTAAGGTCATAGTTTTAAGTTTCTATTTAAAAATGTAAACTTACTTTATTCCGTATATATTTTATTGAATCTAAAATTGTATTTGTATGTAGTCTTTTTTTTTGCAACATTATGCGAAAGTCTTTAAATTAAGTTAATGTAAGTACATTTATTAATGTTGGCTTACATATTTTAATCAAAAAGAAATAATAAAATATTTTCCATTTCGAGTACCAGCATAAATAAAATAATAAGATTTGTTATTTCGCATATGCAAAGGCACATAAATGAATTGTGTAGGCCAACAATAATTTATCCTTATCCATTGTTTTCTGTTTTTTGGAGCGAACAGAAAATCATTTAATTATTTCTTAGGTGCCAAGGCAACCCCCTTCCATCCTCTTGGAAACGGGCGAAAACAAAGACCCAGCCAAATGGCTTATGGCTAATTATTTATTTGGAAAACAAATGCATGGGAAAGCATTTCAAAGCGCTGACGTCACAGAACCCGAACACAGCAAAAAAAATTGCATTGACACTTTCATAAATCGACGGCTGACTTATTACCGATAATTGGTTTGGATTGTTATTGCCTGGCCACCGTATTTATTTATTTTCGTTTTAAGCCCCCACCCGACGCACCCAATTTGTTTATAAACAAATGCGGAGCAGACATAAAAGCGGGCAGCACAAATGAAAATAAAAAGAAAACAAAGAACGATGAACATGAAACGTTCTAAATGGCCAGCATTAAAAATCCATTAACATAAAAACTAATATTAAATATTATAAACACTCTGACCAAGAAATAAACGCAGTGGGGAGCTCACTTTTACTGGTGTTGTAGAAGGGATACGTACTTATATGAGGCAGTGTTTGTTAACAGGGCCAAGCAACAAGGTAAGCTGTTGGCCAAAAGACCACCCACATGGCCATGTTAAGTGTTAACAGACCACTGGAATCTATTTTCGGATTCAGTTAACATTTCGGTATGCGAGGAAAAGGTAGATATATATCACGAACCCAACTTCGGATGAACAGCTGTTCGGCTGCTGCCTTTTAGCCACTCAATGGGCCATCATCATCATCGTATTTGATGTTAGACACTGAATTTCTTGGGCGGCTTCAGTCGTTGCCTGTCAACAAAGCGCTGCGAACGTGTCCAAAAGGCCTTGCTCTTCAAAATAAAATGGAAAAACTTTAAGACATTCGCGAAACGGACTCAAGAACTTGAATAACACTTCTTCGATTTTGGTGTTAAGTGAAAAAGAATAAAAAAGATTCCTATTGAAAAGGAAAACTAATATTTTCAAAATGACTTAAATGCTTATCAAACAAATAAGAACAATTTTAAATGAGAAAAATATCAAAGAATCTATAAATATATAAAGTAGCTGAAATTCAACGAAATACACATCTAAGAAAAGTGTCCTCCAACCCAGAAATAATTATAACAAATCTATCAAAACATAAAATTGCCAAAAAAAACGCAATTTTGTCAAGGTAAATATTATTTCTGCCATATCGTACCATTAATCTCCCTTAAAATGAACTCCATGGAACTGCTATCGTTCGGTGCATAAACACAAGTAACGTTTCCCCTAAGCCATAATACAAGAATACAAAATACGAAAAAAAAAGCAGAGAAACAACAAAATAAAATAAAAAGTGTCAAATTTATGCGAAGCGGTAAAAGAGGACGGCCGGAAATTTATATGGCTTATGAGTTGAGTCGAGTCGAGTCGAGTTGAGCTGAGCTGAAGGATGAAAACCTTTCCATCTGCTCTTTCTGTGTGTGTGTGCTTTAACCTCAAGGATTTTTTATTTGCCTCCTGAAACGCTTTGAAATGCGGCAGAATTGTTGAATTGTTTTGTTTGCGTGGGTGTCAACTTGTTTGTTCTCGTAATTGTGTTGTAAACATATTTTGTATTCGCATTTCGGCCCTCTGTCTATGGGCACAAAAAATTCGAGAATTGTCTGGTTTTTTATAACCAAAATAACATTTAAAAGTTATGGTAATGACTAGAGAGATAATAGTTTTCCCATTAGTCAAATTCAGAGGAGCTGTAAAAATCAGAACAGGAGCATAAAATATTATATGTTAAAGTTATTAGCAAAAACATTTTATTTATAATCCTAACAAAGTTTTAATTTATCTTAAAACCAAACTAAATCTTTTCATTATTTCAAAATTACCGCTTTATGATTATGTTTTATTTGTTCTTTTCCCTTCGCCATGATTAGCATACTTTTTAGGGCACCGTTAATGAAAAAATTCCTAAAATGGCTATAGATTAGAAATAGTCGCAGTCCAAATTAATGTACATATAATTCTACCTTGTACAACTGTGCAAAAATTTAAATAAATCAGCAACAGAAACCCTGTTTAGGCATAAATGAAATGCAGAAAACGTTTTAATTAAATGCCATTCGCAAATTTTATTAAATGCTTTACCAAATTATCCCACTAGCTGAATTAACAAATCAAAATAATATATTTTCATACTACAATGAGTCCCAAGCTTAGGAAAAAATCTTGTTAAATCAAAATATGCCAAAGCACATATAATATTAAAGAACACCGTCTTCGCAGTCAAGGCGAACAATATGGAAAAGCAAAGCCTTAAAGACCAGGCCAAGTAGCTTTGTTGCTTTTGTTCCGCATGTCGTGCTATTTGTGACGAAGAATGTGTGTGACGGAAGAAAAGGGAGTGAAAGCGGCTAAGATGCATATAAAATGTCATAAAAGTCCCTTTCATACAGTGAACGATATAAAAATATGTTCAGGCTTTAAGTTTCAATCGAGCTATCCAATTAATTTATAGTGCATAGAATAGAAGAGAGAGAAAAATAAAGCCAGACAAAATATGTTGAGAAATCAAAAAGGAGAAGCTAATTACATTTATTTCCAATTGTAAATGGTTTTTTGTAATTACGAAATATGTATATAAATTGGATATAATAACCAACGTTTTTGAAAAGAATGTTAATTAAATATTGTTTTAGTAAATGATTTTTAACAAGTCATAAGTTTGGAAAACCAATAGTTCCTATTGTTATTAAATGACTTAACAGTTTTAGAGTATATAAAACCTAAGATGATATTATTACAACATATGCATAATTTATTCCGAAATTAATAAAGGTGTATAGATGTGTAACACGAGCACTGTACCCACATGCATTATGTAGATGGCTGGCATATATAAAGTATTGGCAGGCTGGGGCTTTATGTGCTACCATTTCGTTCGCCAAATTTGTCAAGGAAACCGAAGGACGAGGAACTCCCTCACATGAGTTGCACCCATAAAAGCAGCTGGAATTCTGAATTCATACTGGCTATAGTGCAACTGCAAGTGAAAGTTCCTCTGCAGAGGCTGTCAGATTGAAATGCAGCATACTTCCAGGGGCAGACTGCCAAATATTTCACTGTGAGCCTTTTTCAGCAGGGAAAAGCCCCAGATCTGGGCTATTTTTCCTCTGATTCAACAATGCAGCTTCAAGACAAAAAGCTAAATTAATAAACGCCTAGAGAGGGTGCTACTGTGTGCAAAAAGGACGGGAGACCGCAAACTCAATGCAGATAATTAAATGTAATTACATAATGTGTTTGTATTTGTGGTCCTTCTGCGTCCATCTACGTGTCCGTGCACTTGGCTTTGCTTGTGTGAGTAATTACGTGCTTATTGCCAACAATAGCAGCAACAACAACAAACAGAAGCAAACAACCCCAGACACACAATATAGCAGCTTAGATAGCAACGAAATATTTGATGGGTGGAAATTGTAATGCTCTATCTTTAGGAATACCTTATTATTCTATAGGCATTTTCTAATATTTTTATTCGGAGACGATAGTATTTTCTTATTGTATAAAAAAACCCGAATGTTCAATTTATTTAATAGCCAAAGAATTCAATTTCTTGAATTTTATAAAAGTTGTTTTATCATTTTTTGTAATTTATTCCAAATGTATTAAAACAAATCCTACGAAAATATATGTTCTTATGAACATCGCTTTATATATATTTTATAAAAACAAATATTTTATTTACCGTAGTTATATACTTATGTGAACTTCAAACTGAAACGAGATAAATTCCTTATGAAATTCAATGTAAATACAGTCTTAACAATGCAATATTTAAAAAGGCATTACAATGGATTGCATTGTTTTTGCTTGATATCCTTTACCACAGTGCTCATCGTCAATCGGAAAACCAAAATCCTCGTGAAAAAACAAAATTAAGTTCATCAGAATCGAACAGAGCCGATCAGAATGAAACCGTAATTAAATTGCAACAACAATCCCGCAGAAGTATTCGTGTATGAGTAAATATATCTTTATTATGGCATAATGTGCTTCTGGTATTTGATAAGAGCTTATGACGATGACGTGCACGTTAGCCGGAGGCGGACCCCGCCCCTCTGACCACGCGGTGGAGTCAATAAAATGTAATTAAATCGACATTGTTATCGCCAGCAGACCAACAAACACAGACAGACCCCCACTAACGCAATGCCGATATCTGTGCATTAATTTCAACAAAAACAAACAGAAATTATTTCCGATATTACGACTAGAAGATACCCATTACCTAGTTACTCGAAGAAGGAGATTCCTTATTAAATTCTGAGAACCATTTTAAGTCATTTCATACCATTAGCGTTTGGTGTCATATCTCAAATTTAAGAGTATAAAGAAATTAACAGAAAATTGATAAACTTTGTAATGTTATAATCACGCGGTAAAACACAAGTTCCCACCTAAGCAAAATATTCGCTTTTATTGATAGTCAAATTTTATTCTTTCTATTATAATTTTGGTTGGTATAATGTGTTTTTTTTACTTTTGTAAAACAATTGAACGTGAATAACATTAGCACCCTCATTGTTTTTCGTTGTTGAAATAAAATTTGCTATTTTCTTTGTTGGCCGACGACTTTTTTGGCCTATGTAAACAACCACAAATGCCAGTTAAAACTCGGTTAGAAATTCTAATTGAATTTAAATTGAATTTAATAGTTGAGCACCCAAATGGCCAAACAGTAACCACATCAATACCATTTGATTCACATTGAAAATAAACTTAGGCTTTACCCGATCCTATACAAGACAAATAAAAGAAATCCGAATAAGAGTCCGAAAAAATTGGTAAAAACAACTTTTCTTAAACTCTTATAAATCTATTAAAAGTTTTACCATAGGAAAAATACTCTTAAGGAACTTCCCACTTCAAAAGGTTACCAGAAGCAGATAATGAGCTCAAAAATTGAGCCAAATTGGAAAAAGGAAAAGTTTTCTGGCAAAGCAGCCGCAAACCAAATTAATTTCTAAGTGAATTCATCAATGGGGGAAATCGAATAAAATTTGCAAACTAATTGTGCCATGGGAAAACTGAGTAAAAAAAAACTGCAACAAAATGTGAAAAGTTTCACCGGAATGAGGCCGCCCGAAAGCAAATAAAGTTGGCAGAAAAATAAAATAGGACGAAACTCCAGGGCTCCATTCAAATGCCGTTCACGACCTTTTAAGTTGTTTACCGCCACTTGAACTGTCCTCTATCTATATCTCTATTTTGCTTTTTGAAGAGTTTCCCCTTTGATTTATAATTTTGTCGGCCTCTTTTGGCCATTGAAATTTATCAAGTGCTATCATTTGGGCTTTCTCTTTTAATTGAAATTTCTGCCAAAGGTGGTCCCGAAAGCTGTTAAAAAAGTCTAACCCAAACGGAAGGAAAACACGAAAAAGGGATTAAGAAAAGCGAAGTGGCCCCAATGGGCTCAAATAAAATTAAAAGTTTTATTGGGTTGGCAATTTAATAATTTAAATGAGCCACCAATTGCGTGGCAAGTAATTAACTAAATGAGACTATTTGATACCCTGTGTGAGTAAATAGAATATTTATAATAGGGAGAAAATAAAAAGATTAATATTGTTATTATTGTATCTCAAATAAGGAAAGTGCAATAATCTTTGGGTTTCAATAATATATAAATAAATAAAAATAACTCTGATAAAACTGTTACCAATCCTTTAAGACCAAGAAGTAACCACTTTAATGGGGTGTGTGTCTGCCAACAATCAGGTGAAGTGACGAGGCCGAACGGCAATGGATGAGCACCTCAATTACATTTTGCAATTACCCAAGCAGAGGCAATCCCCAGAAGTCCTTATGTGCGGGTGGGACCATATATATGCAACACCCCTTTTCAAAAAACCTCTTTTCTCTCGCTGCAAATGAAAATATCCTCTTGACCGACCCATCTCCCCCCTTTTTGACTGGCTTTCCACTGTTTTTCTGGGTCCACTTTCACTGGGTTTTTGCCACTGCTTCTTCGACTGTCCATTGCATAATTCAGACGAGTCCATCTTGTCCTTCTACCTCCACTTTTGGATGAAGAGCGAAGGGTGAGTGGTCAAAATACTGATTCCGACTCATACGTCAGTTTATCAAGCCGAGTTCAGTTGCAATTTGGCAGCCCAAATGTGTTTCTGCCTT